CCTAATTATAACCCCACTTATAACTACCCATGAACCTCCAAGTAGACCCTAAACCCTATACCCTTATAGAATCCCTATAGATCCCTTTAAAGGGACCCTTAAAGGAGCTCTTAGAACCTCCAAGTTAGCCCTGATGTCCCAGCTGCTCTGGATTCATTGCCTCGTCGCGCTCGCCCCGCGCACGGCCAAAGTGTCTTGTCAGCTTAAGCCACAAGACGAGATGGATTTGGTGTAGGGAACAAGAGAGGGGACGTTTAGGGTCTTGGGGTGTCGGGTTCAGGGATTCGTGTATAGGTATAGGGGAGGCGTTAGAGGCTTTGTCGTTCCCTTCCGCGTTCCAACTCTCATCTTAAGTCTAGGTTAATACGGTTTAAACATACTGGTAAACGTTGAAAATGAAAAACGCACAATATCATCAGTACTTCATCCAAAACAAAACTATGACTATGACCTACCCGGCGAGATCCGTTTTTGGCAACCACACCGTCGCTGCAAATGCCGAGAACGGGCTCCACGAGGATGTCACGACGATCGCCAAACAAGAAACTCAAGCATCCTTAACTAAGGGATATACCCTGAGGGTCCATGTACACACATAGTATATACTTTGGCCCCTATGTACCTATATACGGCGTACCTTGAGGCCAGAGTATATAGTATTCGGGTACATGGACCCTTCGGGTAAGTTACAAGTAATACACATTAGGGTTTAGGATTGAGGGGTTAAAGGTTTGGGTCTACCAGGACCCTCCAATGGCCGTTCAATGGAGGCCGCCTTATGGTCTTAATAGTTGGTATTTGCGATATGATAGAGGGTAGTTGGGGGGGGTGAAGGTAGAGCCATCACTTCGGAGCCCTGTGACTTAAGTAGCTTTCTTCGAAGGGTATTGCAGCGTTGGGAAGGGCGGGGAACATCATCTCAAATCAAGCGATTCTAGGCATCGGAGTAAACCGACCATGTCCACGCCAACATTGTGTTCCGTTCCAAGCATGAGCCGTACCCTACCCCAAGAAACCCCAAGGTTATGTACCCATCTAGTAGTATATACATCGGCCTTAAAGACCCCACATGGGACCACTTTAAGGCTTTCAGGCGTACATGGACCCTGAGGGAAGCAAGATAGCGAGCTTCAATGCCATGGTCGTCGTACTTCTATGTTACCACCTTCAACTTCGTTCTTTTCGGCATAGGATGGCTTTGGGTTTAATTCAGGTCTGAGGCTTTCTGGATGCGATATTAGCTGCAACAGCAAGAAAGCGCCTGCCCGGGCCTAGGAGGGTCTGGTCAATGGTGGCATGGGAGCAAAAAGGTACACTGATGCAGTCTGGGTGGGCCCTAATTCCACAGCATGCATCGTCTAGGAGCCTTAAGAGTTTGAATCGGGTTTTGGGGTACATTCTACAAGAATCATAATAACAACCCCGGACTACAGTACGTACTCCAGGGCCCAGAACTGGGTCAAAGTGGCTTTTCTCAGGTGGCCAAGCACGTAGCTCCAAGTTCGCATTAAGGTGCTGGCCATCCAGGGTCTGAAAAAAACTCTGAACAAATCTCAACCATAACTACTCTCAACTCTCCATGGAGATTCTCCAACCTCCACCCTGGTAGCCCCTAAGGCCTGAAACATTACGTATGCCATGCATCAGGTACGACGATCGCTAAACGTGTGCATACAACCAGGCAAAATGGCGAACAGATAAAGTGTGGCTCACGTGCAATATGCTGCCATGTACTCACACACATACAATACGAAAGGCCATACCCTTGGTAGACATGCTTGAATCACTGAACCAAAACTCCAATTAAACCCTGAACGCCAAAACTCAAAACCTTAAATGCCCAAAACCCTAAACCCCTTATGGTCCCCTAATAGATCCCTTATAGTAGTCCTTGAAGGAGCCGCTAAATAGGAAAAAAAACCCTAACGGTGTCGTTTTGCAGCAGGCAGTCCCGTCGGTTCCGAGCTCTGGAAGGCGGCTGCCACAGTAGATTCTCATTCCGCAGCTCTGGTCCGGGCTTAGGGCCTAGGGTTTAGGGGTTTATGGGGCTTCAGCTTCAGGTTCAGGGTTTTTGCAAGAGGTTTAGGGTTTCAAGGGGTTTAAGGGTTTCCAGTGTTCAACATTTAGGGCTTAAAGGCTTAGGAATGCATTTGACATTTGGAAGTGACGACCTGTGTCAAGGGCAGAAGAAGAAATATGTTGGGTGTGCGGTGGTGGCAATATGATCCTGGCCCTGGGCAGCTTCTCGGAAAGTCTTGATTACTCTCATGGACTTCACACTTCAGAGTGGATCCAGAATGGGAGTTTCCGAAGATGGGGAATATAGTACCCTAAATAGTAGGATCCTTATTCTAGGGACCCCAAAGGGACCCCTAATTTTCGGAAACTCCCAAGTGCCTTCAACCTCATGCCAGCAGGACCATCCCAGGGTCATGAAGCGGAGCATCGCGCACTATCTTCCCATCAGAATCCAGAGCTCCACAGCCCTGCACGCAGTCGAAAGCCTCCATGTGGGCTTCAGTCATCCTCGGAAGACGTACGTCGGAGAGCGAGGAGTGGACCTCAGTATGCAGCTTCGAGGCCCGGGAAGCGCAAAAGCTTCAGGATTGACTGTCTGGTGCTTAGTAGGGACTGGGGGAATGCATCCCTATTGTAGTCCCTATAAAGTCCCCTTCCCCCATTCCCTACTAAGAACCAGACAGTTGACCCTGCTAGGGAGTGTGTGTGTGTGTGTGTGTGTGTGTTTCTGCGTGATGCCCCGGAGTGTACCCTGAGGGTCCATGCACTCATATAGTATATACATTGGCCTTGTAGTCCCTATATAGGTACTTTGGGGCCCATGTATCTCTATATGGGTACATGGACCCTTAGGTGTAGGCAGCAGGGTGTGGGGTTCAACTTTTCTCTCTGCGGCCTTTTCGTTGCTTCGTTTCTTTGTTCACGGCTTCTTGCTTTGAACTTTCCGGCTTTTGCAGGTGACTGCGGAGTGGGATCAAGTTGTTCCTGGGACGTATGCAGGGTTCTAGCTTTAGGATAATCACCATGAAGTAACCTCTGAACACTAATTAGCTGTCGCGTCCTCCTGTGTGAAGAGCTTTCGGGCATCCCGATAATGTACCATACTGTATAATACACTCCTTATAAAAATACGAGAATATACTATACGATGTACCATGTCTTCTGTCCCTTCGCCATCCCTTCAGAAGCAAGTCAGCCAAACTCTCGTGGTGAGGACCTGAAACCATGCCACCAGCTAGCTCCTCACTGTGCCCTGACCTGAACATCAGCTCTACGTACCCCCGAGTCTTGAGACCCACACTTAACCCTTACAAGACCGGCCCATGCGCTAGGCTTGAGCTGTGTGCCTTCTGCGCCACGTTCATCGTCACCTCGGCCTTTCATGCTTCAAATTAGGGCATGTGTTGGGTGTTTTTTTTTTGTGAGGGGCGGGTGGCAACAAGGACCCAGTTATCCAGGTCGACATTTGGGTGTCTCAATGTGAGAACTTTTGATTGGAGTTCCGGATTTATAGGGCGTAGCAGACCTGCCAAATTTTGAATTCCTGTATCGCAGTTGAGTTCAAAGCTTAGGAAATGTGGCAACGGCACGGGCTACCCCTCGGATGGTGGGGGCAAGCCCTAGCACATCATAATGTAGACACGTCTCTATGACATGGCCGTCGTGGGTTGCAAACCCCAAACCCTGCACCCTGAATCCTAAACCCTCAACGAAAAGCTGTATAGTATACCCTGTGCATTGAATCCGAAACCCTCAACGAAAAGCTTTGTAGTGTACCTTGTGCCCTGAACTCGAAACCCTCGACGACAAGCTACATGGGTTGTTGTCAATTTTATGATCCTTTTTGGGTCCCTAACATAGTACGGCACCTAATATTTAGGGTACCCCAAAAGGGGCCAGAATTTTGAAAACTACCCACATGACTTCAGTTTCAGTCAAACCGGCTCTCCCGGAGACGCGGAAATCCCCTCGAGTCGCCGCGCAGACCCCTGATCAGCGCAATATCGGGGCCTTAATGATTAGAATGAGGGTTCCTTTTAAGGGTTCCTTAAAAAGGTTCTGTAAGGGATCTATAGTATAAGGGCTTTAATAATCATGTATAATGGTTTTGGGGGGCCTTTTTACTATAATTAGAATAAAGCGCCCCCCCTTGAAGACCGAAGCCTTCTTAGTAATGACAACAAGAAGAAAGCGTCAATAATGTCAAGGATACGAAATAACAATGACACGAGTAACAATCAACGAGAGCAAACTTAGTCGTCATTGTCACGACAGTAATAACGTCAATACTGGTGTTTTCGTTTGATCTGGATTGTTGTGCTACGGCACTAAAGCTCTGGTATCGCTGACCTGTTGTCTACTCCATCAATGAACAGATTAGCGTACAAAACGGGTTGACATGTACTGTAAGTTCTCATTCACGTCACGACAGAACAAACCCTGAACCCCAAAACCCAAACCCAAAGCCTATACTAAATCCTACAAGCTCTAAATGCTGGCTTCCTTGGCCCAAAGCCCTCGGGCCCGCCTTTCTCACGGCGTTCCCATGTTCCGCTTGGCTTCAAGCCTGGCGGTTTAGGCGGGGTTTAGGGTTCACGGGTTTTCGATTTCAGCTTTAGGCTTCAGTGTTGTTAGTCTTCTTGCACATGGTCCAGGATTGTTACTCTGCTTGCACATGGTCGCAAACAAGCCCTAGCATAAGAGCTAGTATAACACCCCTGCCCACAGGAACTTAACAGGTATTGCAGGTATGGACTAGGTGACTAGGTAGAAGGTGTCGGTGAACCTTACCAGAAATATGGGGCTCTCCAGAACATGCGCCGCAAACCCACCCCACTCTGACTACTCATCCCCTCTGATTCACCGAGACCTGTTCTCAAAAGCGGCACCCGATTTTTTTTTTGGGGGGGGCGCAATTCCCTTTTTCAAAGGTTACTCTGGGCTAAAGTTAGAAGTTTGAGCCCCGGCCTGGCAGGAGGATCTCACGAATCCAGGTTGCTGCTGCTAGTTACGTTGCTCCTCAGGCGAGAGGCTCCAGAGCTGGGCCCGGAGGTGTAAAACCCGAATCCTAAACACCCCAAAACTCCCAAAACCCTCAAACCCCAAACCTTGGGTACGGCCCCGACACTGTATCAAAACCGCGAAGCTCAAAAAACCCTGAAGCTCCACAAAGCAAGCTAAAGCCCTAAGCCAATGAGCTTGAGTGTTTAGGGATTGCGGTGCACCATGCCGTGCGTCAGCAAGGCCCAAAAATCATGCAGGAGGTTGCAGGGTGAGGTTTAGGGTATTATTAGGGTCTGCAGGACTCAGATTCATCAAATAGGACTTTGGCTCTACGTGGGCATTACGGGCTTGCGTCTCGTGGGTCTTGTGTGAACCAAATGCCAACTGAGCAGCTGCAGAGTCGAGTCGCGCTTGATAAGGATCGGTTAAGGCTTACTAGACCGAAGAGTAAGCTAGGAATAGAAAGGGTGACCTTTTTGGTTTAAAGGGGCTTCTGAGGAAACCCGAACCATTAAAAAAGGGGAATAAGGCCCTACTCTGGGTCCTAGTGTACAATCAGTGTTCGGGATCCATGGTTGAAGGTGAATGAATGCCGGGATCGACAGCCAGAGAAACACAACGATGACGGACTCTTGGAACTTTGGGGAAAGCGGGTGAGGAAATCAACTCCACATCTCACCAAAACGTCCTGAGAAGGAAGGCGCTACCCTACCGTGATGACTAGTAATAACGGTCGTCATAGTCGTTGTCGTGGTGGTGGTGGTGGTGGTGGTGGTGGTGGTGGTGGTGGTGGTGGTGGTGGTGGTGGTGGTGGTGGTGGTGGTGGTGGTGGTGGTGGTGGTGGTGGTGGTGGTGGAGGCGGCGGCGGCGGCGGCGGTGCTGGTGGTGGTGGTAGCTGTGGTAGCAGCAGCAGCAGCAGCAGCAGCAGCAGCAGCAGCTGCAGCGGTCGCGGTATAGCGGTCGCGGCAGCGACAGCGGGTGCAGGTGCAGTAGCAGTAGAAGCAGTAGCAGTAGAAGGAGCAGTAGCAGTCGTAGCAGTAGTAGCAGCAGTAGCAGTAGAAGCAAAGCAGCAGTAGCAGTAGTAGCAGTAGTAGCACTTTGTAGCCGGACACAACCACAGCGCCACGCCCCTGATCAAACTAAAACCTCACTCACTCCTAAACACTCACAATCCCTTTCAGCAACCCTTATCTTTCGCTTCAGCATTTAAGATCTTTGAGTTTGCTGTTTGTGGATGCTGGGTGGACCAAGACGATTCTGAGACAAATACGAGCCAGTTAACCGGTTTCATCTAACTCCGAGCCTGAAGTGTCTGCACATGGTCTACCCCAAACCCGAAATCTACGGAAAGCATGCTCGAAACTGGTTAAAGCCCTCGGGTTATCCCCTAAACCCTAACCCCCCAACCCTGAACCCTAAACCCTCGGGTTATCCCGGAGCTCCTGAAAGAGAACTTGGGGTTCTTCTTCGGCGGTGCGATGTTGGCGAGGCGTTTCCGGCCGGCAAGCAGATTATTCCTTGGATGTTACCTATAGTATCCATTGGAGTTCCTTTTTTGGTTTCACCAATATTATATTAAGGATCCTATAAGGTAACCCAAAAAAGGAACTACAATGGAGACTACAGGTAGGGTTGGGGGTGCTGGGATTTGGAGCTTCATAAAGTCGTTGAGTTCGGTGTTTCAGGGCTCAGAGCTTCTGCTTTAAGAGAAAATAGACGACCCTAATGTAGTACCCTACATGGTAGGATCCTTATTATAAGCACCCCAGACTAAGGGACCCCTATTTTCGGAAACCTCCATCTGAAGTCTGGGACTTGTGGTCCAAATCACCCCTCCTGATCCTGGCGTGAAGGTCCGCTTCCACGTTCCCCGCTCTCCAGAGATATGCTGGACGTCAAGCTGGATGCCGATTCTGCCACTCACCATGGACACCAAGTGTGCGAAAACACACACGGCAGAAGGAGTAGTGAGCAACTTGGTGCACACCTTTCGTGCTCCTGTGTTGTCCGAAATATAATTAGGGATACGGACTCGCATCCTACCACCAGGACAATGATGACCGAACAGCAGTAGTAGTGCAACCTGCGCACAAGTCTCCCGACGGGCGATTTCTCGCCGAGCATCTGCGTTGTCGCTCCAGGCAACTGAACTTCTTCGAAGTTAAACCCTAAGCCCCTCAACCCTAAACCCCGAAACCCCTAAACCCCTAAACTCCTAGCCAAAACCACTAAAACCCTAAACCCGTGAACCCTAAACTCCTCAACCCTAAAAAGTGAACCCTGCGCTGCACCAGAGGGATGATGAGCCAGGGATGCTGATGGAGCCACCAACGCCAATCTCGTGCCCTGAACGATCACGTCAACTGCAACTGCGAGCAAATGATCAAAGTTGCGTGGAGCTAACAAAAGATTGGTGTGGAACATAAAATTACCAGCACGGTGCCCAGAATTGCAAAAGACGTCTTCTTAGCCTAAACAGCCGTCCGAACGGGCTTTGCATATTCGAACTCCTAGGCCACACCCGCTTCAATTTCAAGGGAACCTCAGGGAAGCAAAAACGCAAATCTGCCTTGCTTCACAATGTTCGTTCCACGTCGGAACCGAGATATTCGGGGATCAGGATATGCATATGCAGGTTTTGGGGGTTTCGATGCTTCTCCGGGTCTAGGGTGACCAAGACCTTCATGCAATCAATCGGGGGCCGAGAAGGTTCAGCGACTTTAGTGTAAGCTGTACACCGTGAGATACCCTACATCACAAAACCCTTAACCTCAAGCCTTCAAGCCTAACACTAAGCCCTCTTCACGTCCCAAGTGTTCTACCTGAGCCCTCAACATCATAGCCATAGCCTAGTTACGAAATTAGGCCCTCACCCGAGACCCCTAAACCATAGACACCGAAGTCCTGGACCGAGCATTACCTGGCACTCCTGTCAGAGCCAGAACAGCGGTTCAGGGCTCATTAGGTTTAGGATGCTCATGCCTCAGACCTTTTTAGGGTACTATAGGGATCTATAAAAGGGTTCCTTAAAGGGATCTATAAGGGGTCTATAATGGGAGGATCATGGGACTTAGTAAGTAAGCTTATAAGTACCTTAATTGGGGTTGTAAGTAGCTATAAGTATAGTTAGCCTAATTCTAACCCTAGTTAGTAAGTCCCACAAATCCTTTAAGTAACCTGTTCTTCGCGCTTTGTGGCACGGCTGTTATTTGAGTTCTATCGCCCGTTGTCGCGATATTTCCATTGTGCACCCCAGACTCTCGTCTGATGCTCGTTTTCCTGAAGCTTTTGATACTTGATGTTGACCTCTGCATCATAGGTTAGATTACATCACCCGGTAATGCCTTTAGCAACCTCCTGAAGGCTTCTCGACTTGGCGTGTTATATAGTGGCTCCTATTAAGAATAGTATTATACCAAGGGTTCCAAGTCATGCTGTTAGTGAGGTTTAGGGTTTGGGCTACGGCTTAGGGTTCCCTAAACCCTAAACCCTAGCTGTGGCTCAGGGAATCGAAAAGTTGAGTTTCACGGTCGCCGGCGAAATAAGGCAGAACCTTAAGTATAGAAATAAACGACCAAACAAACAAATGAATACATAGACATACGTGTTATATTTATTTATATATATATATATGTATATGTATATGTGATGTATATGACTGCATGGAAATAAGCTATGAATATCTATTATATGTATGTGTGTGTGCATACATGCATCTGCACATAGTTGTTTTGCACACGTTCTCATGCTACAAGCATCTACAATTCGCATATCTCTGTACCTTGATGTCTTTTTTAGTCGAAAACTGTATTTACTCTCATCCGAGGTGCCAGATTTGGATAGCCACATCCACCTCGCGTGCACGGCTGATGTCGGCGATGACTTGGTCATAGCCTCGCTCCGAAGTGCAATCGACAGGCAGTTTCATGTTGTCTGAGATCAAGAAAAAAGTGTGCATTCATGCCCGGACCTCCCCGTCAAGGACATCGCCCAAGCCTCGCCTTAAAAGAGAGAAGTTAGTACAGGGGCCTTAATAGTTGATTAGAACAGGGTCTTGGGGTTTATTTTTACTACAAGTATAATAAGGAACCCTGAGAATAATGTTGGTAATTACTTCGGCCCCTTCGGCCCCTATATTGTTCCCGGCCCTAAGCATTGCCATTGCTCCACGTGGGCACGATTCGCAAGTAGAAGGCCAAACCATAAAAAACACCAGCCCTAGAATCCCTGAAGCCATGAGGCCTTACAGTAGAAGCCAGAAAGTTGGAATATCACTATCCTAATACCCCTATAAGGTACAGTATGGTACAGTATAAGGAACCCTAGCACTAATCATCCCTACTCAATGTTCCAACTTTCTGGGCTTCACTGTAACCTCAAGCGAGGGGCTGATGTCCAAGATGTTGGCAAGGCTGAAGGAAGCACAGTCCTCGATGCTGAGGGTCTATGGACGAAACAAGAGTAAGTACCTAGACCTACACGTTAAGGTATCCCCATAGGGTGGTAGGTTGAGTACTTGATGGTAGCGCGGGTTAAGGTCTACAGGGCTCTATCCTGAACCCTGAGCCTTAAACTCTGAACGCCCTACAGCACCCCAAAAGCCTGCCCCAACTAAACCCGAAACCCTACATTCTAAACCCTTGACCCCTAAGCCCTCAAACCTTTGAGCCCTAAGCCCGAAAACCCAAGACCTGAAACCCTGAAAGCCACGCGTACGGGACGGTCCCGCTCTAGCCCTTCTTCTGCTCGTAGCAATTCCTGGGCTTTCACGGGATTAAATGTAGCTTAAGATTTATGGCAATTTAAGACTTAAAACAATTTAGGGCTTAGGATAATCTAAGATTTAGGGCAATCTTAGAGGAGTGTTTATTACCGTATGAACACGTATGGACTGAATGTATAAGCGGACCTACTCATTTTGTTGTTTTTTTTTCGGGGCTTTCGCAGAACCAAGCTCGTTTGTTCAATGGTGCTGGAAGGTTGGAGAATAGAAACCCGCTAACCCCAAGCCTTAACCTGTAGACCGGGGGCTTTGTGTTTCGTTCTTCGAACGTGAGGTTTGGGTGTAGAAATCAAGGTTTAAGGTTTTGTTTCTACTTTATCGGCTTCAGGATTCAGGGCTGGGAATGTAATCCTGCTGCAATCTTACCCGAAACCTGCAACGGTAGCGTCATTGCCTGTGAAACTCATATGCCAGGCATGCTGCCAATATTTGCGCACTCATTCCCTGACGACTTCGTGTGCAAGTATGCGTCGCACATCTGCAATGCTCGTACGGAGTTTTCGCTTCTTCGCTACCTGGCAAAGAGGTCATCATGCGTTCAAGCTTGTTCCACACACCCACGACTGACTTTACGCTTGTCGTGCATCTGGCCGAGGATATTGTGCAATGACCCAAACCCTGCCTGCGTCTGTAAGCTGCATTGCTAGACGATACACACAACTTGCAAGCTGGTCGTGTGACATATCCACGTCAGCCTCTTCGGGGGCTGAGAAGGAGTAGGATCGGCGACATCTGACTATGAAGGCTCATTGGATATCCAGGATTGCCGTTCCATGCTGCATGTACAAGATAAGTTGCTGCCGACCGCGTTCAATGTATTGCAACATGTGGGTCGTGTTTCTGTGGCCCTGATCTTGAAAGACCAAGTTGCGAACCGCGACTTTCGGTCTAGGGCTATGGATTTGGGCGAACGTTTTGGGGATAATGACCATTCCGAGCGAGTTGTTGCTGTCTGATGTGAAGGCCCAACTGTGCGAAAACCCTAAAACCTAAAACCCTCCCCAAGCTCTATGAAGCAGCTGGGACTAGGAACTTCTCAAGCCCTTTATGGTAGCTTCCGAGAGTTAGGGGTACCTTATTTTGGGGTCCTTATAATAAGGATCTTACTATTCAGGGTACTTTATTCGGCCCCCCTATTTTCGGAAACTCCCTCATGGGACTAAGCATTGAACTGCAGGTTTGGGACATAAACAGGGGTTGCCGTTTACAAGTTCTCATTGGCTGTGATGCGGGCTCTCTGGATTTCAAAGTCGAGCCTGCGCCCGATCGGTGATCCCTGCGTCTTGAAGCTCTTTGATGTCTCATTAGTTTGGCGGTGCGTTGGCTTTCGGATTGATGCTTCAAGCCCTTTCCGAAGTCCTGGGCCTGGAAGGAGAGCAAAGCAAAACGGCTGCACCCCGAAACTTGCAACCCATCTCCTAGGATGCCCAGTAGTACCCTTATAAGGGGCACCTTCAAAGGGATCTGTAAGAGTTGATTAGGGATCTATAAAGGTTCTACAAAGGGTTTAGGGTTTCCGAGCATTAGGGACTAGGATGCCCAGTAGTACCCTTATTCCCTTTTTGTAGTCCTAGGTTCCTTATAAAGTTACCCAATACCCAAAAGGGAGCCCTTTTTATTCCTAGGTTACTGGGCATCCTAGTCTCCATGCCCAGCAGAGGATGACTGGTTCTTAGCTGGGCAGCTGTGAGCCGCCTTTCCCAAAAGAGTGACTCGCGAGAACCCAAGACCCGCAATGTCCTAAACCAATTAGGGTCTACTTGGAGGTTCATGGGTCGTTATGTGTGGAGTTATAAATCCCCTAATATGGGTTATAACTATAACTATATATATATACTTATCCTCCTTATAACTCCACTTATAACTACCCATGAACCTCCAAGTAGACCCTAAACCCTATACTCTTACAGAATCCCTACTATAGATCCCTTCAAAGGGACCCTTAAAGGAATCCTTATAACTACCCAGTGTTCCACGCTCGACTACAGTACCAGGCAGGGCGTCTGCGAGGTGCTCGACGGCGCCGGATTCTGTGAGCCGGGACTGGCGCAAGGGTGGATTGGGCTTGACCCTTGGCCCAACCCAGAGCCTCCAACATCCCTTAATTAAGGAATATACCTTAATTATAGTAGGATCCCCAATATGATTTAAGGTATACTCCTTAATTAAGGGGTATTGGAGTCTCGAACAGAGAAACGGCTCCTCTTCAGGGTTTAGGGGTTTAGGGTATGGAAGGGTCCCCTGAATTCCTCTGTCCCTACGGACAAATCGCTCATGCTGGTTTCAGGGAGGATTCAATGGTTTAGGGGCTTCGGAACGGGCTTTGCGGAATCCAGTCTGCCGGCTGTACCATTGCGTGGCCAGTTTAAAATCATGCTCTTAGAGGTTGTTCAGATAAACCCGTATGGAATCATGAGGATAATGCCGGCAAGTTCATCTCGGAATCTGAACCCTTTCCGCCATCTTCTTTGCCATCAATATGGTGTCCTCCATGTCCTCACTACCACCATTATCAAATCACCTCCTCCTCCTCCTCTTCCCCCCCCCTCCTCCACATCTTCATCCTCCTACACCCTTGTCTCTCTAAACCCCTAAACCCTAAACCCTACACAAACCTAAATCCGCCAAACTGGAAAACCCTCAACCAAGCCCTAACACCCCGTAAACCCGGAAGTCCAGCACTTAGTGACGTCCATGCAGTAACCCTTATGGCAAGCCTACAATAAACCCTTAGCACCCCAGCAGCTAACACTAAACCCTCAAACCTAAACTCTAAACCCTAAACTCTAAACCTTAAACTCCAAACCCTAAACCTAAACCTGAACCCTAAACCCTAACCTCATAGAACCCTTCCTCTCTCATCTGACAATTCGAAGGAGTTTTAGGGGTTTGGGGGTTTAGGTGGTCCCCTAAACCCTAAACCCTATAGATCCCTTGTAGATCCCTTAAAGGAAACGCCTAGGTCCTAGGTAAGGGATATAGGAATCCCTGGGGTTTAGTGCTTTCATATAAAGGGATCCATATGGGCAGTTGTCAAAATTACGGCCCCTTTTTGGGCACCTTGCATATTAGGTGCCGTACTATAATAAATAAGGACCCAGAAAGAAACCATAATTTTGACAGCCACCCATATAAGGGTTCCGGTTCGGGGGCCGAACTCGACCACTGCGTTTTGCGCAGTTCAGGTCCGCCTTCCCCACGACATCACTATCAACTCTGGCGCTTAGGGGCGTTGTCGTAATTCGAACCCTAAGAAACACCAGCCCCTTTCCTTTCACAAACCTATAAAACCCAATCCAAAAAAACAAAAAACAAAAACAAACAAAACCAAAAAAAACAAAAAAATCAAAAAAAAAAACATTATTTCAGTGCTCTTCCAGAATAACATTAGAAACACACACGAATGGGAGAGTTCTGAAAGAATGTTTTTTTGTTTTTTTTTGTTTTTTGTGTTTTGTGGTTTTGTTTTGTTTTTTTTTTGGTTTTGTTTTTTTGGTTTCGACGCTTTGAGACACATTGGCTACGTGACAGACAGTTCAATGAATCGCTGCGCGTTCCAAAAGAAGCCGATGCGTGTCAGTCGTGTGCTGCATCACATATATCGCTCATGCATCACTGGTCTCACTCATGCCGTATACAGTTTGTGATTCGCGGTGTTCCGTACTCAAGCCTAGTATAACCTAGTTCTATTTTCCGGTGACTCATATCTGCACAGCAGTCGCGATTCATGACAAGCTTCCGGTGGCCTCCTCAATACTTATTAAACTATCTTGGTTGGAAAGGACTGTAGTGGTACAAAATGAAACTAACGTGCAACCTCTCACCAACTGAACTAGTATCATTCCAACCGCTATATTAAGTAATCTCTTTAGTCTTGTTCTCTAGTAGGCTTAAACATTAGAACCACTGAGATGTAATGATGTAAGCCTTCACATAACATCACTAGAACACACATGAAAAACTTAGACAACTTGATTTGTATTAACCTCTACACACAGCTAACCTAGACCATTCATGCCAATGCCACTACCTATAGCTGTTCATCTAGTGTTAGTAAGTCATTTTAATACAGCACAAGACAATACATATAATAGTCCTAATGGGGTAGCATTTATTGTACGTAATGGTAAGACATAATGAAAAAGTGCAGCAACATAATAAGAGTCATGAAAATCTATGTCAATAGCAGCACTAATTACCAAGTACAATACCGGTTGAACCAGCTATTGTAAACAGACTATATGAAAGATATACTATAACAGTTAACATTAGTTGTGAAATAGTATCAGTAGACATGCATTACTTGTCCAGGGATGTAGAATACCAACTACATGATCGTAACGAACAAGTTGGTAATGATCATATAACCAATGTATTAACCTGTAAAGTTAGCTCTTGTTTCACTGTTGCATACTAGTTGTAAACATATGATGTGTCCAAACTAATTTATCCTAATAGACAAAGACAACTCATAGCCTCATAGCTCAGGTTATCCGGTTATAGACAAGTTAACCAAAGACACTAAACATGCAATAAGCCAGTTATTGTTAAACTATTGATTATCGAATGCTGGAAGGGTAGACTTCTGGATTCCCAAAGAACTAAACCAAACATTGATAGAACATAGCATCACCTCCAAATATGAACCAAATGCTATTGTATTAAGTGCATATCTGTTAATAACCTTAATTAGTGAAGCATCGCACCTGTTAAGATTGGTAGAACTATTAAAAAGATAGATGATGTAGTCGTAACTGATCTAGTTATAAGTTGGTTATGTAACTTAACATCAACCTAATGATTGCACAATGTGACAAGTATTACAGAAATTATATAGATGTTAATGTTGATGACAGAGCTGATATAGTTAAACTATAGACAATAGGATTAATACCGCGCACATACACACACACACACGCACACACAACTCTCAGCATATTCCTAAAATATGCAAAGCGCAGCGGTCGACTTCGACCCCGTAACCGTTCCAAGGGTTCCTATAAGGGATCTGTAAGGCTTCTCTAAGAGGAGTGTGGGCGGCCCAGGATTCTTGGGGTCCAAGAGGTTACGGGTTTTGGGGTTTAGTGTTTTGGGCTTCGGGGTTCTGGGGTTTAGGGGTTTGGGGTTTAGGGCTTTGGGGTTTAAGGTTTGGGGGTGTGGGGGCTTAGGATTCAAGGCTTTGGGGCTTAGGGTCATGGACATTCGAGACTCCCGCCCGCGAAGTTGCTTCGAGGGCTTCAGCTTTTAGGGTTTCAGCTTTGGCTTTTTAATCTCGAACGTTTTGGGTTTAGAGTTTAGGGTTCAGGGTTTAGGGGTTCAGGGGCTTAGGGTTCAGAGATTACGGACTTTGGGATTGCGAGGCTTTCGGGTTGGGGAGTTCAGACATCAGCGTAGTAACTTTCTTAGCGGCTCAGTATTGAACCCTTGTCAAAACCCTTTTTTGGAACCCTGATCGAATTAACTTGTAGAGCCCTTAAAGAAAGCTTATAGCACCCTTATATAGGAATCCTTATAGAATACTTATATCAACCCTTAGAACCCACCATCGAGGCCTGGTTCTCTGGATGGCCTTTGGCCATCTGCCCAAGCGCAACGGCCGCCTCGCGCGGTTCAGAGCTTAGGGCTTTAGCGCTTGGGGGTTTGGCGGTTTAGGGGCTTGGGGGCTTGGGGGTTTGGGGGTTTAGGGGTTTAGGGTTGGGTCACGGGTAGGTTTGCTGCTTTCGGTGGTCAGGGGCTAAGAGGGGATCGGGCTTGGGGCTATGAGAGCTGCTGGGGTGCAACAGAGCAGAGGTTAGGAAGGAGTCTCGGGAAGAAGCCGCAAAGTTGGAATCTACAAACCCCAAGGGTCCAAGTACCTAATTAGCATATACTCTCCAAAATCCTAACCTACATAACTACTCTTATCCTAAAACCCAGTACCTGCTTATGGAGGCCAACCTTCTCTCTAATTACTAGCTTTGGAAACTTTCCTGTTTCTGCTGCAAGGTTCGATGCCCTAAACTCTAAGTACTACAAAGCCCGTCTATCAGTGCCGCGCGAACACTACTGACTGCGTGAACAACAAATACGAAACTCACTCTCAACCCTTGACCCTCACACTTGTAGAGCCTGCATAGACAAAATGTTACATAAACTCACATATGAGGTAGTAGCCCAAGGAAGGGATCAGTCTCATCCCTCTCCTTATAGGGTTTACCTAGAGTAACCAAGGTACCGTAAACAAGACAGACTAACATCTTTTAAAAATTGGTTACTCTAGGTACGGTTAAGGGTTACGAGTTTGTTTTTCAGGGTTTAGGGCTTACAGAGTTTAGGGCTTGGGGTTAGCCAACCGAAATCTGCAACCTAAACCATCTGCCCCAGAATGAACCCTGTAACAATCCGAAGCCGGGTTTGGGTCTAGGGTCGCTGGCATAGGGCCGAATAATTACCATGGGGTGCTGGGGTACATTTTGGTCTAAACATTGTGGGAAAGATAAAAGTACAGTATTCGTAGCTATTCCGACGCCTATATTACGAACGCTGAACCGGCAATATTGAACTTCCATGCTCAACGAGGATTCTTGTTGCGAAAAGCCATTCGAGGACTCCCAACTCTGGAAGAAAAAAAGCTTCGCACAGCGGACGCCTTTCTGGAAGAATACAAACGAACTCTTGTTGTCATTGTAGCATACCCATAGGCTCCATCGCAGTTCCTTTTTTGGATTACCTTATAGGATCCTAAATATGAACCACAAAAAAGGAACTTCAATGGAGCTGAAAGGTAAACCCGATCGCAAGCCCCGAATGACTCAGCATTGGGAGTTTCGGTTTAGGGTTTATGGGGGTTATAGGGTCTACCTTAAGCTACCAAACCCTACTTTTTTGTAGGTCCTTATTATAAACCCTAATATGGAATTTATAGGGACCCTACTTTTTTGTAGGTTTTGGTAGGTTAAGGTAGGGTTTAGGGTCTGGGATTATGTGTAACTCGTTGCTGTTCCGGGGACTCTAGGGGCCCTAAATAACTACCGCTGTTATTCCTAGGGTGCCTTATTATAATGGTTATAGTATAATATGCCCCAAAACCCTATTTTAACTATTGAGGCCCCTATATCATAGTACCCTTATAGTCTTATAGTAGCCCTTTTTGGATATCTTATAGTGGCCCTGATGCAGAGCCCCCGCAAAGGAAAGTTGGGCCCCCAAGTTTAGGGCCGGACTAAAGAGGGTCTTGCGGCGAAGGCTTTGCAGGTGGGCCCAGGCTTTTTGGAGATTAGGGTCAAGGGTGTTTAGGGTTTGGGGCTTTAGGGGTTTAGGGTTTAGGGGATTTAAAGTTTTAGGGTTTAGGGCTTTAGGGTTTAGGGGTTATAGGGCCTGGGGTTCGGGGGTTAAGGTGTCAGCGCCATGACTTCAAGTCAAAAGGTTCTAGAACTCGGTTGAAGGCATATCCGAAACCATGAAATGATTGACCTCAAGAGCGTAACATAGGAATGATTGGAATTGGGTTTGGGGCCATTATGGTATAATTATGAAAAGGAACCCGAAGGAATGACACTGGTAAATATTTCGGCTTCTTTATTAGGGCTTCACATCAGCTTGTGCTTACGTTCGCGATGCGGTCTGGCTATATGCGAGTTTCCGAAAATGGGGACCTTATTGTAAGGACCCCAAAATAGGGTACCCCTATCATCGGAAAATCCCATATGCGAACCCCACCTGCTGCCCTCTGGCTTGATCTTCTCCCGATTGAACAGAACAGGCACAGCTTTTCTGTACGGCCACAAACCGAACTCAACCGGCAATTCGGAAAACCTCGAAACACCAAAATCCTCAAATGCTAGCAGCTGCTAGCATACGCGCCCAACGCCCCAAATCAACCATAACCCCGAACACCCTGAACCCCAAGGACGCGACCTACTTTCCAGGGTATCTCATGCTCCCAAACCCAAAATCCTAAACCCTAAACCCAAAAAATCGCTAAACCCTAAACCCAAAAAACCCTAAACCCAAAATCCTGACTCCCTTCACTCTAGTGATCCCCGAAGTCGCCGAGGCGATACTGCGACAGGGGCCATACTATCTAGAACACGGTTTTGGGTTTAGGGTTTAGGGTTTAGGGTTTGGGGGTTGGGGAATGGGGTTTAGGGTTTGGGGTTTAGGGTTTGGGGTTAAGGGTTTGGGGTTTAGGGTTTGGGATTTAGGGTTTAGGGTTTAGGGGGCTTTCAGTCTCGTACCCCTACTTCCCTAAACCCTAAACCCCAAAAGCTTGAAATCAAACCCGAAGCTTTAAACCTTAATTATTGCCTTACCTGTAGTCTCCATTGTAGTTCCTTTTTGGGTTACCTTATAGGATCCTATAATTATATACTTGGTTAAACCAAAAAAGGAACTCCAATGGAGACTATAGGTAAGCCCCAAACCTGAAGCCCTACATCGCAAGACTTCAGCAGAGCCTGCGTTCGCTCCTCAGTGGTTTCTGCAATCCTCAGCCGAGTAGACACTTCCCCCCAAAAAAAATGAAGGGGCCTCAGTAATTAGAAGAGAATTTGGGATATGATCTATTATACTATAGTTATAATATGGAACACCCTCACAAAAAAAACGTATAGGTAATTATTTAGGCCCCTATACTCTACATGCAAGGTTAGGGTTGGGTGCAGAAGGGGTTTGTAGGGGAACTTCGGCTTGGAATTCGATACTACTTGCCCCCCAGTACTCTTTAAGAGGCCTCATATTACTCGTTGATCGTTGAGCAGTAGAACTCAGAGGTGGAGGCAGGATTGTCTGTCGGCCTATGGTTTCGGATTTACGTTTGTAGGGTTTGGCGTTCAGAGGGTATAGGGTTGTCGGGTATTTGACTTTAGGGTTTGCGGTTTAAGTTTGAGGGCGAATTTGGGGCTGTGGGGTTTAGTGTTCTGGGTTTGGGATTTGAAAGAGTTTGGATAGGTGCAAGAAAGCTATCCAGAGCATTGAGGGCTCGGGGAGTTTGTGGCTTTGCCGCGTAGGGTTTCTAGATTCTCGGACACACCCAAAGGGTCAGAGCAACCATATAGTATATACTTTAGGGTACTGAGTACCTACTATAATGGTACTTGGACCCTTTGCAGAAGACCAATCGTCCTTTCAAGTTGAACGAGGGCCTTGACTCCAAAAAACAGCATTGAACTCGGCCTTGTTCCCGTTGAAGTGGCGATTCCGCATGATCGATTCAGCAAGGGCGGTGTCCTCCGTTTTGGAGTAGCAGGACTCGTACATGGTGCTCGCTTGCTGAAACAACGGGTCACCCAAGTTCAATTGAAGTGACCCGTCCGGCAGGCGATTGTAGAGGAGATTAATCGCCGACAGTTGCCCCGCCCGCAGGATTCATCCTCGATCAACGTCCGCCGCTCCTTTGAATACTTCCGGGCCTTTCCCTTATGCCTGCTTTCTTCTGGCATCCCTTGTTTAAGAGAATTGATATTTGTCACATGCTCTGAGAACACCTAAGGCGCCCATGAGGTTTACCTACATTGAAAACACCTCCCTTTGAGAGCCGACATCGAGTCTATGCAACAACTCCTTGGAGTTGGTACGGGTTTGAGGCTTAGGGCTTTAGGTGTAAACCCTAGACACCCTATAAGCAATAATAGGACCTGAATAAATAGACATCGTTTTTGACGATCTTTGAAATGTAACATAAGGAGTAAGGGATTCTGCTGCAATACTGGAACATTGTACATGAAGCACCTAGTGACCTAGTGTTGTGGCAACGGTTCAGAGTTCACGGTGTAGAGTTTAGGGCGTTTAGTTTCGATAGCTAAGGGTTTAGGGTCGCACATCCCATGTGAAGAAAACTGAAAATGCCCGACCAACCAGCACGTGCTAGCCCTCCCCCTGCGCAATCCCTGCTAAGCGCAGCGCAACTACGAACTACAGTATGTCTTATCGAATCAACCTGTTCGACGCATCGGCGAGCATGTTTGATGAATTTTTGAAGCTCTAATCTCAAAGCCGCTTCTTAACTAGACCTCCGGAGCGCTAAGCCCCTAAATCCCCCTTCCTGCGTTGTCTCAGTGCTTGGCAGTAAGCTGATCAGAGGCCTGGCCAAGTTGGGCTAGAGAGGTGAGAGGTGTCTCCATAGGTGGGAACTTCGGGTTCAAGGCTTTCTAGTACTACGAACTCCCACAGTCCGGAAATAGTTATACCAGAATGCCCCCCCCCCCCCCGCCTCCTACAACCCAAAACACAAAGAACAACCATCATCATAGGGGCTGGGTACCCAGGTCAACGAAGCTTGACAGTTTGCTTCTGGCAGGGTTCTACTGTGCACCCCAAGAGCTTAATCAGAGGTTACAAACCGCCCCGACACACTATGGTTGTGTGAATGTTTGGTCTAGCAGGATTGTACGATTCCACGGTTTGGGGTTGAGCCGTGTAGAGGGCTGACTAACCAGGAAAAGTGCTCCCTTGGAAGCCTGTATAGCTTTCCAGAATATACCACCGCTAACAGCGACCACCAGTCTAGCTACTATTAAGGCTAGTAAGACCTGCGCAGTCCCCGGAAGGAGTAGACTTCATTCAGAACTCGATTTGCGGCACCAGACATCACTTGCTGCCTTCGACTTGTCGCCCTGCACCCGGGGGCACCGCCACGAAGGTCTTCAACTTGCGCTCGGCAAGACAGCGGCAGCTGGGTGTTACGATGTCCCGCTTGGCGATGGAAGCTTAGAGAAGCTCACGGTAGACTCTGAATCGAGAGCATCTATGGAATCGATGGACCTGAGGTCAACCAAGAGATCAGCAGCTTGTAAGCCGATCCAAGCTGGTTTTGAACCGTAAAGACTGCAGATTTGGTGTGAGCTGAACGTCACACTGAAGCAGCAAACTGCCAGACTCTATAGGTTCTCAGCCATAAAAACGTGTATCTCTTGGCGGAGATCCATTCAAGAAATAATAACGCTGTTTCTATTCAACTATGAACTTTAATTATAACTACTAGTTCTATTCAGAATGATTCTGAAGCCTGGCTGTCCCCTCCACGGCAAAGGCGCGCTGGTTCTCAGGGTTGTTCTCTACCAATCCTTGGCATGCAGGGAGTTGAGGGCACTTGGGTCGCTGAGGCCGGGAACCAGCACAGCAGGAATCTGCCGCCCTTTCCTATTACTTCGGCGACCACCACCTCTGCTGCACCAGCTAGTGCTTTTGTTACCGACTGCTCCTGCGGCCGCTGCCTGCTGCCACTGCTGCTGCTCCTGCTTTTTTTGAAAAGCATAACGTGAGGTAGCATGTGTGGGAACCGTAGCAAAGTGGCAGTGTGGCGTCTCGGGTGCAGGGCTTCCAAAACCTAGATCCGGAGCCCGGAACCCTAAAATCCCCGAAATCCTAGGAATCCCGAATGGAAACTTACAACCTCGACCCGAAAGATCCCGAAACTCTATAAATCGCTTGCGGAAGAGCGGCGGCTGATGCAGGTCGCCGCAGCTGTGCGCTGGAGAGCCTTGGGGTCACTCGAGTGATCGGAATGGCGTCAAGCCCTCTCGGGCTCTGGGACACCGATACGAGAAGCAAACTTCAATAAAGGCAAGCAAATTTACGCATAGCACGTGAGACACCGTTAGACGTTAGACTCGGACACTACCGACTTAACTTGAAAGCCTTCACCTATTTCAACCGCCCACCCTTAGACCTCGCAAGCCCTGACTGTAAATCAACCAGGTACAGGAACACTATAAACCCAAAAAGCTTCGAAAGCCCTGTGCCCAAACCCTGAAGCCCATGCCAGAGCTAAGGCCTCTGACTGACCGGTCCCTTTCATCCTAGCAAAGTCGGAACACCCGGACCCGGCTTGGGGTTTAGGTACGGTTTAGGGTTTAGGGTTTAGGGTTCCTTCAGGGAGTATTTGGTCTCCTATTCTCCGATGGGTTTCGGATTTTGGAATCTGGTCATGGACGCCCCAATCGCATCGAGGGCACCGTCGATGCCATCAGCTGCCGCCGGAGTGGAGCCACTGCCCCCGCCATCACTACCTCCTGGGCCGTTGACTGGAGATTCAGGGTTTGCAGGCTCAGGTCATTATGCCTTAAGCTGGGCTGTGAGCAGTGTTAAGGGCTTCTCCTCCGGGTAATCTGATTTAGGGTTTGTGGCCGGGTCTTGGCATCTGTCGGCATCCGGGATGCCTTGCGGCGGGGTATTCTATGCCTTGCACTTTGCACGGTACAATATGTAAAGCGTATATATTATACACATAGATATGAGGTACTATCGTAACCTTTTCGGATTTAGTGTTAAGGGCTTGTTACCATTATCGTGTTATCGTCTAAGAGCACTTGTGACTGGGACCGCTTGCACGCCGACGATAAGGTCGATGATGAGGCTGAGGTTGTTACATTGTTGCCGTTGGCCATGACCTCTGACAGCAGCATGTTCATTCTTGCTGTGTTTGCATATCCGCGTACAAGGTTTGAAGTTCCAGGTCACCTCTTGACGGAAGTTTCGTGGTTTCAGCAATACCTTGAGCTTTGGGCGCAGGGTTTCAGCTTAGGCCTCTTTTTGCAACTGATGGTAATCTAGGAAATGCCATGATAGGCCGTAAGGACTGACATCATAGCATAATGTTCGGGCCTGAAAAACTAAGATAGGGTTCGAGGCTCCTTTACGGTGTAGTCATCATGAAGACCTCTAGGGCTTTATTGGTAATTACTTAGGCCTCTATGTTAGCCGCAAGCAACCGTTCAACTTATTGAGGCCAGTACATCGCTTTTTCCTAGCGTGAACGACCCAAGAGTAATCTAGCAATGACAAGGGTGCCCTTTTTGGTTTAAAGGGGGTTACATGGCTACAAGGGAACCTAAACCCTAAAAAAAGGGAATAAGGGCCTACTCTAGGTCCTAGACATACTGGGGTTGGAGGGTCTGCGCTTACTCAGCCCCGTGACCCTTGAAGTAGTGTTGAGGTCTCGCAACCCGAACACAAACATGGAAGGTGCAAGGGTTAGGGACCTAGCCGCCCAAACTCAGCCAAAGAGCTGATTGCCCTGCAGCATTGCCCTTGACCAAACGGGCCAGGGACGTTGCGGCCTGCAAATTCCCGCGCAAGCACGACATGAAATAGGTCGTGTAACCTTCGATGTGTCTGCAAAACCAGCAAGGCATTTGCTTAAGAATTCGAGGTACCTTCATACGGTTTCCTTTGGCAGCAACCCCAAAACGGTATCGTATTTTATGGGTCCTTGATTGCTGAAACCCTTCAAAGGGACGGGCCTGAGTTGCCATGGCTGAGAAGAAGGCACGTTGCTAAAAATACGGAGCCCTGTGGTCTTGACGATGGTGATGCTGGCGACGGCGGCTGTGATGGTGACGGATGATCCCAAACCCAGACACGGTGTCACCTCATTGAAACCCCTATATGCCGCTATCTTACTATAGCTGCTGCTGCTGCCGCTGCTGCTGGCGTTTGTGATGCTGTCGCCGCTGAGGCAGTCGCTCTTGCTCTGCGTGCTGCTTGTTGCTGTCGTTATTGCCAGTGGTGTTCTGCAGTCTTTGCTGCTTCAGCTGCTGCATTTGTAGACGCCTACCAGATATTCAACTTCGCAGAAATTCCTACTCGCCTATCCCCACATGGGCTTGGGGGAATAAGTATTGGCATACTTGCGATGGAACTCTGGCAACATACAAAGCTATGTAAAAATACCCAACTCCCAAATACAACAATGTCGCCCAAATCGTGGACCCGTGATGCAAGGAGAACGATGAAAGCGAACGTTGGATACAAAGGCGCGTGTCCCCCAGCAAAACTGTTCGAACTATCGATAAAAAAGCCTTCGAACTCCGATAGAACACTCCGAAACCTGAACAACATTTTACACGCCGCAAAGTGCCTGGGCCCGCTCCTGCCCATGGTACTCCTCATCACGTTCGGTCAGTTGTCATGGCTTTGTATTTCCGTTTACTAATCGACGAGTTACTATGACGGTACCTATACATGTCTCAGGCTTCAGGGTTTGAAGCTTGGACTCGGGCTTGGCAGCGAGCTAGCGAAGTCGATTCGGGAGCTCGTTAGGTGTGCGTGAGCTGTCCTCGAAGTCTCAAGGACAGGTGTAGAGTAGAAGTTCCATCTTACGCGACCCCAACCCTGCAGCCTGAAAACCTGAAGCGTCAAGCCTTGATCCTGAAAGCCAAAGTCTTCACGGAAAGTGGGCTGTTCTATGTCGGAACAGATCCGTGAGGGAGTTGGGGGGTGGATGCACCAGGCGCTTCGAGAATACTGCTCGTATTGCTCCGAGAACGATCGAACCCTGTACCTATTTAGGCCCTGCCGGCCAGCTGCTTCAGGGTTTAGGGTTTAGGGAATCGGGTTTAGCATCTTCTTCTGTATAGGTCTTAAGCACTTCGATGCTCCAGCCTTGGATTTCAAAACCTCCTCCCCAAACGCCAGGTGCGGTCCTTCAGCTGGCGCACCAAAGGCGGGATCACGCCGCCATCCACGAGGCTAACCTCCCAGGGATTCATGACCTTAGCCCTGAAGCCTCTACTTGAAGTGAAGGTGTATAACTGTAAGTTGAGGGTTAGGTAAGCTTAGACACTATAATTGTAATCGTTTCTGATTCAACAACGAACTCCGCCTCATCCTACTCGCCCTGCAGGTGCTGGCGAATAGTCCTGCTGTGACGTTACGACGAAAATCACACGACGACGACTAAGGATAGGACTTCCAACACGACGGCAACGTAAAGAAGTACAACTAGCGCTACGAGTGATACGACTGGGATTGCTCCTACTACTAGTTCTACAGCTACTCTCTGCACTTTGGCTGGTACTGGAACTGGTTCAAACCGTGCTGGTACCCGGGCTAGAGGAGTAGTAGTAGCGGTAGTAGCAGTAGCAGTGGCAGCGGCAGTGGAAGGGGGTTGTAGCCTTACGAGTAGGAGTAGAAGTAGGAGCAGTAGTAGTAGTAGTAGTAGTAGTCGTCGTCGTCGTAGTCGTAGTAGTAGTCGTAGTAGTAGTCGCAGTAGATGTAGATCAAAAACACAAAAACTCAAGAACCACAACACATAATAAGTACGGATGTCTGCGCGCGGACATGTTGTGTGTAAATGTTTATGTACATATATATATATATATATATATATATATATATATATATATATATATATTTACACACATACATACATACATACATACATACATACACGCATATATCTATCTCTCACCATAACACTTTATATGCACGTTTACACACACACACACATATATATATATATATATATATATATATATATATACGTCTACATATATATATATATATACATATATACACGAGTATCTATATCCACGACCTCAGGCTGAGGCTAGAAAGCCACCAAGTTGAACTATGACCCTAGCTAAAGTCCAAGGCGTTAAACTGCAGCTTCTGACGCTACGATACCAAACCCCTGAGCCAAAACCCTAAAACACCTAACACTAAAACACACCAAAAACACCGCAACCCCGAAACCCCAAAGCGCTAAACACCGAAAACCTTATAAAGCACAGAGACCCTAAGACCATAAGCATCAACGCAAACCTGAAAAACAGAAACCCTAAAGCTTCAAACACTCAACAACAACAACACAGAACACAGAAACCCTAGAACTCTAAACACGAAAAGAACCTAAAACCCTGAAGCTCTGAAACCCTAAGAAACCCCAAGACACTAACATCCTAAGCCTCCAAAAACCCCAAAAACCCTAAACTACAAGCAGAGCACATGCCTGGAGTGCGCTGCTCAGCTGCGCCTGCTGGCCCACTGCCAGGCCTGCCTCATGAGGCTTCGGGGCTTTGACGAGGGCTTTATAGTAGGTTATCGCATAAATGCTATATACAGTCTGACTAGAGTATATTTTATAGAATTATCTAAAAATATGTATATGTGGTTATTTATCTGCTTGTTAAATATATACAAACAGGATATGGTCTGGTTCATTATATGTGTATGTATGTGTATATATTTATATTTATATTTATTTATTTATGTATTTATTTATTTGTTTGTATGTTGTATCTAACCATCGTTGTTTATGCCAAATGAAGTTATATCATATCAACGTATATCGAAGGACATTGTAGCTGTAGGTTCCTTTGAGGGTCGTGGTTCCTACACTGCGGATGCATGCTTTTGCGAGGTCCTGACGAAAGGGATACTGGGCATGGGTTTGGAATTAAGCCGCTGAGCCCTACACAGGCACGACGAAACAGCCGCTGAACCCTGCATCTTACAGCATGCATTTTTTCTGAGAGTAGGTTATGAAAAAATACACTATGGAAGGTTGCAGGTGGGGCCGCGTCTTTTGTCAGCCTAAGGACATCAACGATGCTTGGGAACGCCATCAAGACCTAGTGCAAGTCTCGAAACCCTCAAAATCTGCCAAGGATTTGGGGTGTGGGCTTTAGATTAAAGGGCCTCAACGGCAAACCGTCATGTCAAGATCGAGCGCCTCCAGTCTCTTCCGAGGGTTGTCGCTCTGAAGGTCCAGGACGAGGAGCTGTTCGGAACAGGGAAGGGAACATGATAGCATCAGGACGAGTCTTGCGAAGGATCATGAACATGAGGGTGCTCATGGCAGTGAAGGGGAAGACGATGTCGACGGTGTTAGTGATGGTGACTTTGAAAACGACAATGATGACGAAGAAGACATGATGAGATGATGATGATGATGATGCTGGTGATGATGATGGTTGATCATGATGGTGATTGCAATGCCGATGATGATGATCATGTTGATGATGGTGGTGATAACGGCGGTGACGATGATTATGCACAGCGATCAACTTCTCTCTGTTGGAAGTGTTGTTATTGCCGTCATCATAGCACTGGCTGCTGGTGTTCCGGACAGCTATCATGTTCACGCTGGTTGCCGTTCTGACCGCTACTACTTCTCTTACGTGCTTTGCTTCGAGAAGTGTTTGGTGACGACCGTGCCTTTGTCGGAATTGGTGGCTTGGTGCTGGTCATCGCCAGGGTCAAGGCAAATCAACTCTCGGCGCTGGCCATCGCCAGGCTCATGTCAATCAATTCTCGAGACTTTGATTCTGTGAAGAGTTAAGCCTTTCGGGTTTAGGCTTTATGGGTGCTCGGAGTTTAGGGGCTTAGAGCTTTCTGGTCTTTGGGTTTGGGGTTTCAGGGCCGGCAATTGAGCAAAGGGGATGCATGCAGGCTTGCCAGGTTTTCCTCTTCAGGCTTGAGATTTGGGATGCAGAGTTTGCAAGGCTTAAGAAACAGGATCTCTAAACTCTAAGCCAGGCTGAAGGATCATAAACATGAAACCGGGCTCAACAAACATCAACTGTCTGGGAGCCAAAACGAATCAACATAGGATAAATCAAATTTATATCCTCGAGGGTGTACTCGAGGTTACCAGTTTTTGCATCACGACAACATCGAAAAGCTTTCAAAACAGAAATCAAAAAGAGATCAGGCTTTCGGCTGTCCAACCAGCGTCGTAGCACTTTGGGCTTTGACGTTGGGGATCTTGTTTTCTTGGCGGGGGACAGAGACAGGGTGCCGGGGGCAGGGTGGCTGGCGGCGCAGTAGCATATACTGGCCGGAGCAGTATGCACATGCAATCTTAGCAGTAGCAATCAGTAACAGCAGCAAAAGGTAGTAGTAGCAGTTAAGGCAAAACATGAACATAGTCGTCTTAGAAGTAATGATAATAGGAATAATGGCAATGGTGATGGTAAAAGTGGCCGTAGTCGTGATCGTAAAAGCAGTACTAGCAGCAAAAGTACGAGTCATCACTATCATAATCATCATCCTAACACTAGTATAGCGGCCAACAGCCGCAGGAAGCGCAGCAGTCGCAGCAGCCGCAGGAGCAGAAAACATAAAGTAATAGCAAAACGAGAAGTAGTGTTATTGTTATTGTCAGTCGCAATAATATTCGTAGCAGTCGTCGTCGAGGTAGCAGCAGTAGTAGCAGTAGTAGTAGTAGTAGTAGTAGTAGTCATAGTAGTAGAACTAGTAGTAGTAGTAGTAGTAGTAGTAGTAGTAGCAGTAGGTAGTAGTAACAGTAGCAGTGCCAGTGGCAGTAGCAGCAGTAGCAGTAGCAGTAGCAGTAGCAGTAGCAGTAGCAGTAGCAGTAGCAGTAGCAGTAGCAGTAGCAGTAGCAGTAGCAGTAGCAGTATCAGTAGGAGGAGTAGTAGTAGTAGTAGCTGTAGTGGTCGTGGTAGTGGTGGTCGTAGTGGTAGTGGGTAGTTAGTAGTAAGTAGTAGTAGTAGTAGTAGTAGTAGTAGTAGTAGTAGTAGTAGTAGTAGTAGTAGTAGTAGTAGTAGTAGTAGTAGTCGTAGTGGTAGTGGGAATTCGTGGAAGTGGTAGTGGTAGTAGTAGCAGCAGCAGCAGCAGTATCAGTAGTAGCAGTAGTCGTGATAGTAATTGTAGTAGTAGTGGTAGTAGCAGTAGTAGTAGTAGTAGTAGGAGGAGGAGGAGGGAGGAGTAGGGCCTTCAGATCAGCTGAGGGACGCGCAAACACGAAAACATGACAACAAACAAAATATGCTCCCTCATGAAGTTATGTGTGTATGTCTGTATGTAAGCATGTATGTATGTGCGATGTATGGTGCCTTCGTTCTCTCGCTCTCTCTCTCTCTCTCTCAGAGAGAGAGAGAGAGAGAGAGACTGGTTGTAATGTACTGCAATGTGATGTCATGTACAACATGATATGAACTGTAATGAATGTAGTGAAATGTAATGAGATGTAATGAAATGCAAATAAATGCAATGAAAGGGTCTGACATCTAATGCAATGTAAAGAAACCTAATGAGATCTAATGAGATTAGCGACATGCAATGAACTGTAAAGAACTGCAATAACATGTAGTAACATGCAATGACATGCAACTGTGTATGTTGTATGTATGTATGCAGGTACATACATATGCAAGTATGTACGTACATAGGCGTATATGTGTGTATGCATGCATGCATGCATGCATGGATGATGTGTGTTCTTTCCTTCTCTTCTTCCCGCTTCCTTCCTTCCTTGCTTGTTTCTTCGCTTTACGGAAGACCAAGAAAGACCAGTTTGTGGGTGTTCACGGGCTGCAAATACTGTAACTGATCGCATTTCAGAGTATTGGCTTTTGTCGATCGCAGTTTGATGTCATGTTGATCCCTGCTTCATATCTTGGTCTCTAACTGAGTTTTTATGCCTATCCCCTAAACCCAAGACATAATTCAAATTCTGCAACAGCTCCGGCTTACTTACGAGTTCCATGCTTGCACTTGGCCTGACCGTGCAGGTCGTCTTGGGGCCTGCCATAGCTTCACTGTATTGGGTATCATTTCTCAGGTATTGTGGTTGAAACCATGCAAACCACAAGTCAACCCTGACCTTATCGGGCTGGTGGGGTCCATCTTCTCGGTGCCCATATTAAGGGTCATCACGGCTCCGCCGTGCACCGAGATATCTGGCAAGGCTTTAAGCTTTTTTTGTAAACCATTCACCCTGAAAATAAACGAGAAGCCCGATTTTGTCGGCACCCCACGCCACGCTCACGGCTAACATCGCCGGCTGTGTGTACGGCAGTGATCAAGCGCTTAGGGCTTCGCAGTATGACCACAAGGACCCTTGAGGAAAAACATGGGAACACATTCTTATGGTATGATACAAGCAGGAGCCCTAAAGAACGCTGCTGGTGGTTACTATGATTATTGTTATGAAGTCATGAACATATTTAATAATAGTAACATTTATCTTTTATGAACTATTACGATTATGATTATTCGGGCATGTGTTGTAGCCGGACCAGATCACCCCGATTCGCACCCGGACCTGGACGCCGAGGTTTCGGGTTTAGGGGTTATAGGGTTTAGGGTTTCGGTTTTCTCATTGACCCTTTGCACCGAACCAGAACCACAGGGTTTAGATCCACAGGGCTTGTTCGACAGAGTTGGCTTTTAAAAACTTTTACAGACTTTTAAAAACTTTAAAATGCAAGAAAAAACCTTCTAAAAACTTTTCAAAACTTTAAAAGACTTTTAGAAACTTTAGAAGACTTTTGCAAACTTTAAAAGACTTTTCAAAACTTTAAAAGGCTTTTAAAATATGTAAAAGACTTTTAAAAACTTTAAAAGACATTTAAAAGACATTTAAAAGACTTTAAAAGACTTTTAAAAGACTTTTAAAAGCTTTTAAAAGCTTTTACAAAGTTTAAAAGACTTTGAAAGACTTTTAAAGACTTTAAACAACTTTTAAAAGTGTTTAAAAACTTTAAAACACAAAAAAAAGTAATTTTTCTACATTTTTAAGGTTTCTTCCGAGAAGACGAGGATGAAGAAGACCTGGCACAGGGTTTACAGTTTCAGGGTCTTTAGGGTTTGGGGTTAGAAGGCAGAGTGCCATAGTATTAGGGGTTTGAGGGTAATGAGAGGGTTAGGGTTAGAGTTTCAGGGTTTTAGGGTTTAGGGTTACAAGGCAGAGTGCCATGGTATAGGGTTTAAGGGTAATGGCTGAAAGGCAAAGTGCTAAGGTCTTCAATATGAATGGGATTCAGTTTTGGTAGTTATCTTGGAATGATCGTGGCTTGGCTTCGGGCTTTTGGTCGTGCCCACCCCGCTAAACAGCTCCAGGTACTCCCACACCCTCCTACTGTACCACTACTGTACTACTACTGTACAACTACTTTAATACTAGTGTACTACCACTTTACTACTACCCTCTTACAAGTATACTTCTGTACTACTATGGCACCGCTACAGTACTACGACGGTACTACTATTGTACTACTGTACTACTACTGCATTACTACCGTGCTAGTACTTGTACTACTACTGCACGACACACCACTGCACCGCACCAGGCCTCAGACGTGGTCGAGTGGAGGGGAGTGTAGGTTGGAGGCAAAAGTCTTCAGAGTGAAAGGTTTGCAGTTTTGGTAGTTCTCGTGGAGTGACCGTGGGTTGGCTTCGACTGTTGGTCGTCCCCAAACCTCTCTAGACAGATCCAAGTACCCCTAAACCCTCGTACTGCACTGTAACTACTACTGTACGACTGTCGTACTACAGTACTACTATTGTACTACTCTACCCTTTTGTACTACTACTGTACTACTACTGTACCGTACCGGGCCTCAGACGTGGTCGATTGTGGAGGGGAGTGTAGGTTGGAGGCAAAAGTCTACAAAATGAAAGGTTTTTAGTGTTGGTAGTATCTTGGAGTGATCGGGGCTTTTGGTTTCCGGCCTTTGGTGATCCCCCAAAACCGTTAAACAGCTCCAAGTACACTTAAACACCTCGTACCGTACTACTACTGTACTACTACTGCATTACTACTGTACTATTACATGCATTACTACTGGACTATTACGTTTATTCACCTGCGCATCATCGAGCTTCTTCTTGTATCTCTGCTACCTGTAATGTGGCGGCCGTGTAATAGCCACCCCCCCTCGACCAAAGGTTTTTGGCTTGAATAGTCTGGTGTCCGTGACCCCCTGGACCGGGGTTCGGCTGGCTGAGGGTCTGAATGGCTTTGGTTAAGTTAGAAGGGAAATGGGGGGTCGCAGGGTCGGTTTGAAACCTGCGCGAACGCCGCGGTCGGGGGGTTTGGGGATCACCAAAAACTTGAAACCAAGCCGCGATCACTCCAAGATAACTACCAACACTAAAAACCTTTCATGTTAAAGACTTTTGCCTCCAACCTAAACACCCCCACGATCGACCAAGTTTGAGGCCTGGTACGGTACAGTGGCGTGTAGTACAAAGTACAGTAGTACAGTAGCACAGTAGTACATTGGTGCAATAGTAGTACAGTAGTAGCACAGTACAAGCACAGTAGTGTGTTCATCGACTCAAGCAGGGAGCGCCGCTGTAAACTTTGCTTTGTGTGGGTGCTTTGTCTTTGCTCTTTATATGTTTTGCTGTTTGCTGTCGTATCTGGTATCTATATGTGCTTATAGGGTCATGGCTTTGAGTTTGGCGCGGGGGCGAGGCTGGCCTGGGAGGTGGGCTGATAA